TCGTTTTCAAGAATGGCGATGGAGCGTTGCAGGTTGATGCTCTATCAAAACCTATTTCAGACAATAATCGCTTTTTACATTTGAGTACGGTGGTCTGTCTAAATAGGTGTCATTTAGAAAAAGCGATAGTCAGAGATAAGGCAATTCCCAGCCTCTCCCAAAGTTGAATTTTAAAATTTGACTGATTACTGACAATAGTCAAAAGTTGGAATGGCTAAACAGACGGAATGGCTATATTTTCTCATCTTCAGGTTCTACCCGCTCTGATCGATGTGATTCCTGAAGCTCGTATCAATCTCGTTCTCTACTATTTGCGAAGACGTGAGTGAGCTGACTGAGCTGACTGAGCTAACTGAGCAATGACTAGCAATGACTAATTTTGTTGGCTTGTTTTTAAACTATCAGCTTACAGATTACAGCTTCTTAAAGTTTTTACAATTGAACGTCTTTCGGAATGAATTCTCAGCTTTTAGAAGAGATCGAACACGCGTTGAGTCTGGTGGAGGAGTTAGAGCCTCAGCAAGCGCCCGAGTTTATCATCAAAGCCATCACTTTTACGCATATCGGACAAATGAAAGGATCGGTGAGATTGTTTTTGTTTTTTTTTTTTAAAAAAAGCTAACAATTTAACTAATTTAGTCATTTACAATACTTTTTTTTACTTAGTTTAAATTTTCAAAAATCTTTTCTTTTTTCATTAGTCTTTTTTAGAAAGAACGAAAGGATCGGTTTAAAGTTAGTAGTAAGCAAAATTGTCTACATAAAATCTTATAGTAAACTTGAATTTTCGAATCTTTAGAAAGAGCACCTCAAAACGGCTGAGCTTTTCTTCAAAATGGTCGGCGAGTCGCCGGCGGATTGTGGTAACTTTTATTCGATTTTATTTCTATTTTAATATGTAAATATTCAATAAATTTACATTTATCTTGATTAAATTTAGAATTTTAAAAGATTAGAAGAATTTTAAAAGATTTAAAAGATTTAAAAGATTAGAAGAAGATTTAAAAGATTAGAAGAATTTTAAATGATTTAAAAGATTTAATTGATTTAATTGATTTAAATGATTTAAAAGATTTAAATGATTTAAAAGATTTAAAAGATTGGGGTAGGCTAGTTTCCGCGACTTTTTTTGCGCAACAGGGTTATTTGCGCAACTGGGTCGTTTGCGCAACTCGCCATAACTTTCTTCTAAGTGGGCCAATCTTTATGCTTTTGGTTTCATTTTGTAGATCTCAATAAGTGCAACAAAATAACACCAAAAGCATAAAGATTGGCTCAATTAGAAGAAAGTTATGAGGAATTGCGCAAATGACCCAGTTGCGCAAAAAAAATTGCGGAAACTAGCCTACCCCAAAAGATTTAAAGGGGGGGTATTAATCGCGGCCGGGTGACGATAAAAATTTTTTTACGGCAACCACCTGTTTTTTTATTTTAATATCGCTGATTTTATTATAAAAAGAATAAAAATCACCCGGCTAGAGTGATTTGATGGGTTTACAAATTTTTGGAGACACTGCAAGGCTTGGAGAAAAACAAGATCGTCACTCATCAGACACCTCAGCTAAAAGGCACCTATTTGAGAAAACTAAAACCACAAGCGACCACAAATTTTGAATTTTAATTGCAGATAAATTTAAAAACAAAATAAAAAGCACAAAAAACAATAAAAATAAATTGTTAATCTATAATTCTTCCTCTTGCTCACTTTCATCTTCGCTCAAGTACAGCAGTTCGGCTCAAGTACAAGCGCAACAAATCGGCTTCCTATCTTATCAATTTCCAGCGCATCTTCACCAGAAGTGACTGAATCTCCTCCACCGTAGGACATCTTCAGCGCTTTACTTGACACAATTAGATCTTTTTTCCATTTGTGGTCGCTTGTGGTTTTAGTTTTCTCAAATAGGTGCCTTTTAGCTGAGGTGTCTGATGAGTGACGATCTTGTTTTTCTCCAAGCCTTGCAGTGTCTCCAAAAATTTGTAAACCCATCAAATCACTCTAGCCGGGTGATGTTTATTCTTTTTATAATAAAATCAGCGATATTAAAATAAAAAAACAGGTGGTTGCCGTAAAAAAATTTTTATCGTCACCCGGCCGCGATTAATACCCCCCCTTTAAATGATTTTAATGATTTAAATGATTTATAAGATTTAAAAGAAAGCTAGTTTCAATCACGAAATTCAAACTTTAACCTTTTGATCCATTTTGTACTTTGTGCTCTCGCAAACGTGCATTCTCTTTAGCATACTCTTTGTTTTTCAATTTTAATCACTAGCAAAACCAGGAAAATGCGAAATTGTGGCAGTGTGCTAGAGGGTGCACGTTTAACTAGAGGACAAAGTTTTACCTTTATCCAGTGCTTGAGATCTTTCAACAATAAACAACCGAATTTCATTCTGTAACACCTTTAAATCCTTAATTTTTATGTTTGTTTTTATGTTTTCCATTGAATACTCTATCAGATACAATCCCCGGCCGACAATCAATGGCTTCTTCTTTTTTTCTCCAAAAGCAATGGGATGAGGTGATCATCTATCTCAACTCGATTAAGGCACGATTTTTAAAGATTTACAAGGCAATTTCACAAGGCTGAGATAACGAAATGACATTTAAAGTTATTGTAAAGTTAAAATAGAGTAAACTCAGCCGGTTAAACATCAAAACAAAATAAAAACAAAAGGAAGGGATCGAACCCGAGTAAAAATTGGGAGGTCTGTTTTGGAAACGAGACCGTTATCCACTAGACTACAAGGTGATGTCTCGGGGTGGTGAAAGAAGCGTTATATCGAAAGAAAGCTGATTTCTGAGCTCTAATTTGACAAACTTGTTTGCAAGATTGCTTGAGTTTTGGACTCATTTTGCAAAAGCGGATAGCTAAATGGGTATCAGCATAAAATTCTACGTCATATGGTATATAGCTTATGTGACTTCCCTTATTAGATAATTAGATAACTAAGTATCAACATATCTTATCTAAAAATCCCATTTACAGCAATATTTCCTCACCGACGATACTTTCTACTTCAACTTTGGACAAGCACAGGTGATGATTTCATTTGCATACAAATTTGAAGATACTCTCAAAATACAAAAAAAGCATATAGTATAATTGAATATCTTTTAGCTAATGGCTGGGAATTATGTGGAAGCTGAGGCGACTCTTCTGCAAGTACAAGGAGACGATAAAAGGAAAAATATCTACGTGCAAGCATTGGCTATTTGTTGTGGGTTTACAGTGAATAGTTACAGTAATCCTAAACTTTTCGTACTCTAAATAGGTACCCACAACACATTACAGTACCCCATAAAGAAACCTACAGGATCTCGAAAAGCTACAGTACCCTAAACGGTTACCTAATGACCCCAGCTATCATATTTGAAAGAACTACGGTGTTCTAAGCGACTATCGTAACCCAGCGATTACCATACGCTACAGTACTTTAATAGTTACAGTCATATTTTCAGATGTTCGCAATCGTAAACCCCAACTAGCTTGGGATCTCTATAAACGCACGAAAAGTACAGCTGAGGCGTTTGCTTTACTCAAAACTATAGCAAACGGATGTTATAAGGTGGATTTTGTCATATTTATGACGTACTAAATCTAAATAGTTATAATACAATTATTTTTATCTAGATTGGCGACTTTTTCTATGCTTTTCTTGGGTTTGATCAATTAGAAAAAGCCGATCCATCACCCGAGCACTGGCACGGGAAAAGGGGAGCCGCCGCTGGGCTATTCAAGCAATTGGCTCACGGAGAGGCCACCAGGTGAGGAAAAAAATATGATACAAATAGGATATTCATCTTTGAAAATCATTTGCAGGGACTCTGGGGTTTCCGGTAAGTCAAGACTCTAGCCAGAAACTAGGCTTGGCTTCTGATGAGGAATTTGTGGGGCCCATGGTGAGAAGCTAGAGCCTAAAGATTTGTCTTTGAAAACACTTGAAACACTCCCGACTATTCTAACAACTTGCTCATTTTGAGATAAAGCTTTTTAGTCTTTTCTAAAATCCTGTGACCCCATTTTTGCAAACGATCAACGAAAAGGGTGACGAAGAATGTCAAATGCAAATTACTTTTTGAATTTATAAGATATGGAGGGGAAATTTTCAGAGAGCAAATGTCTGAGGTGTTGTCACTTCTCTCGCAAGGTCATCATCCTCAGGTTTGCCTCAAAAAACAGTCAGCGATCAGGCAATTGTTTAGATAAATCTATTGTATAAAAGAGTAGTGTCTGTCTCTCTGTTTGTTCGTCTGTTGGTTCGTCTGTTTGCTGGCTGTTTGTCTATCTGTTTGTCTATCTGTTTGTCTGTCTGTTTGTCTGTCTGCTTGTCTGTCTGTTTGTCTATCTGTTCGTCTATCTGTTCGTCTATCTGTTTGTCTGTCTGTTTGTCTGTCTGTTTGTCTGTTTGTCTCTCTGTACGGGTTTTTCTCAGAGATCTTTGAGCCAAAAACTCAAATTTTTTAAAAGTTTAAAAGTTTAATACAGTTGCAGCATTTAAAATCAAAAATTCAAAAGTCAGCGTCACTACCCGGGGTCGAACCCAGATCCTCTGCCTTATAGACAAGCGCGCTCCCGACTGTGTCACGGGGACCTCCCGTCCCTCGCCAGAAAAACCCGGTGTTAACGGTTTCGGCTGGTAACAAGATACTTTTTGATTGGTTATTTTCAAAACAAGACAATTCAGGTCGAGCAAATCATTGGCGTGATCAGAAGATGGGCTCGCGAGAATGGAATCCATTTGTAAATCATGAAATCATTCTAATCAAATGTTGCAATTTCTAATCACTTTTTTTCATTTTCTTCTTTATTCTCAATCAATTTTTATCGAATCATAAAAGTTTATACATCAAAAAATCATTTTTTGGGCTTTATTGATTTACAAAAATGTCTGAATTTTATTCCAAAACAAAAAAAATGAACGCATTTCCTTTTTAAAGATCTGCCGTATTTGCTATAGATTCCTGTAGACATTACTATAGAATAATGTTGCCATCAACCGGTTCTTAAACGATTGCTCATCCCGGGCATCACCTCTCCTCCTCCATTTCCCCCTCCACCACCCGGTGCATCAAATTCCAACACGCGAATCGTCGGCGATCCACCGGAAACCGCGAAATGATTTCCGCCAGCAGCTCGTGCTCTGAAATTGGGATTTTTGTTTGATGTTGATCTTGATGTTGATGTTGATGTTGATCTTGATCTTGATCTTTAACGAATCAAAATTGGATCTCTCTGCGCTTTAAGATCAACCCTTTACCAGGAATCTAGAGAGGTAAAGAGCTGCAAATATCTATTGACGTTATTTTTGACGCTGATCACGAAACACATGTTTTTAGCCTAGGTTTCTGCACGGAAAACTAACGAAACGTGAAAACAGCCATTTTTTGGCTTTTTTGGCCCTGCCGCCCTTTACTAAAATAGCTGTAAAAACTTTTAAAAAAGAGATATCTCAAAACGGTTTTTACCAATCGATCCATCTTGAATTCAGCTTTAGAATGAGCTATAAAACGTCAAAATTCGACAAATTTAAGGTACTCTCCCAAAAAATCGGAAAGGACTTTTCCACCAACCCAATGGATCTATTTTCCGATCTCTCTCTAAGTTTCCCCAGAGTTTGGTTTGAAAATAATGCTGGAAAAGCTATCTCTAATATGTTTATTTATGTATTTATATGTAGGGAAATGGGTTAAAGCTGAAAGTTGTTCATTTTTATGTAAAATTTCCCCCTGTGCTTTCTTTTCATGTTGCTTTTAGGAAAAAGCTGGCACAGGACTTTTCCACCAACCCATCTATTTTCCGATCTCTCTCCAAGCCTTGGATAATGGCAAAAAACGATTTTTGATAAGAAATACAGTTTTTTCTTTGTATAATAATGATTATAAAATGAAATAAGCCCGAAAACAAAAAGCTTTTTGCCATTTCTTTTTCAACAAACCGTAACGAAGCGAGACTCGGCCGTTCTTGTCCATTATTTTCGACATCTTTTGAGATAGCGTTCAGCGAGATCGGCTGCGGTTCATCGGGATCTCGAGCATCTAAAATGCATTCAGATTCACTGGATTAGATCACTACAGAATCCAAAACACTCACTACAGAATCTCTTCGCCAAATATGCCTTGAAATGTTCATTAAGGATCAGCATCGTCACCGTTCCCACCAATCCGTGTGAAGCGAACGTGAAAAAAGCCAGATGGGCTAGTTCTAAAAGTGAATTTCAACCATTTTGCTTTTCAGTTATTGTGCAAACGTAGTGTAAAGCTATATTGCAAAAAAAGGATTTACCGTATTTACTCGAATAGAAGACCGGCCTCGATTATAAGACCGTCTCGAATAGAAGACGGGGCTAGGGGGGTGATTGAAAAAAATAGAAGACCGGTCTTCTATTCGAGTAAATACGGTATTTTTGTATCTACTATATAAAAGAGCTGTCTATCTGTCTGTACGAGCATTTTTTTTGACTATTATTTGACTATTTGAGGGTATTTAAAGTAATAAAGCTAAAACCTTCTTTAGAATATAGAATATATTGATATTGTAGTCTTAGAATATATTAGTAGTTGTGTCATTTAAAAAATGAAAAAATCTTGTTAGGGTGAGACAACCGGGAGTCGAACCCGGATCGTACGACTTGTAGGCCACCGCGCTCCCGACTGAGCCACGGCGAGGCAGAGGCACAGCCAGAAAAAGCAGCTCTTATCTCGGCTGGTCTTCTTTGATCTTCTTTTAAAGCATGCTATATTTTACCATAATCCGTCTGCGCTAAATTTAGGTACTGTAATTTTCAAGTACTACAAAATACTGTAACTTTTAAAAGTACTACTAAAGTACTACAATTTTTAAGCCAATACACCCTTCATAACTTTAGCTGTTAAAGTGTTTTAAAAGATATTCAGCCTTGACAGCTGAATACTATTATTCTATAAAACTGTAGCGTTTCTACCGTACTCTCAAGGTACTATAGGAATGATACAGTACCCTGGAAATGTCTAAGAAAAAAACAAACCTTGCACATTCCAAATTCTGAACACCATGATTAGCCCAAGAAGAGCACCCGGTTCCAACAAGGCGATCATCGGAATACTCATCTAAAAATCTATTATTATCTATTATTTATCGAAATCAATAACAAACCTGTGTGCTAAGTATCATAATGTACTTCCTGTGTGCGAGTTGTGTCTTGAAATTCGCGTATTTATCCTTTCGTCGCAAAATCGCAGCCGTATGAAAGAGGAAAGCGGTGACGACGATGATGAAAGTCTAAAGAATTCATGAGCCAGAAAGGATCCTTTTTCAAAAAAGCATCAAAGTACATTATTTCATTGTACATTATTTCATTATTCATCATTTCATTATTCATTATTTCATTATTCATCATTTCCCCTACCGTACACATCACCCCACACACGAGCATGTACGTGTAGAAAAGGGGATTCGTCGGCAAATAGAAGACTAAAATTGCGGAGATGTTCACGACAGACTCGTAGATCGGATAGTGCTAAAGTTGAGTCATTTTTAGCTCAATCTAGTCAAGGAATAGCTTCAAAAATAGGTTTTTCGTTCAAAATCCCTAGTTAAACAAATTTACCTAGCCAAATTGGTCAAAGTTATCTGACGATCTGACAAAAGCTATCTGACAGAAGCTATCTGACAGAAGCTATCTGACAAAAGCTATCTTTCCCCACCTCAATAAGTGCCGCTTTTGCTTCGGTTTGATTTTGAATTGTTTGCGGAAAGAGCACCAAATGCGGAACAAGAAAAAACGCGTAAACGCCGATGAGGAAAAATCCCTGAAAAGTTGAATGGCTTTTTCAATTTCAATTTTTTTCAATTCCAGATTTAAATCCGACAAATTTCCTTTGGACCTAGAGACAGCACCATTCCCGATTTCTGGCTAGACTCTGAGCTAGCTGGCTTCACCTGACCTAGATTAATGTCGCTATTTTCGCCTAAAAAAGTTTCCAGGAGTCCAATTCCTAACCAGAGAAGAGAACCGGACGAAAACAACTCTAATCTTAACCCGTTTTCGCTCAACTCTTTGCTGGATCTGGGGAAATGAGAGTGAAAGGCTTCACCAGGCTTCACCAGGCTTCACCAGGCTTCACCAGGCTTCACCAGGCTTCACCAGGCTTCACCAGGCTTCACCAGGCTTCACCAGGCTTCACCAGGCTTCACCAGGCTTCACCAGGCTTCACCAGGCTTCACCAGGCTTCACCAGGCTTCACCAGGCTTCACCAGGCTTCACCAGGCTTCACCAGGCTTCACCAGGCTTCACCAGGCTTCACCAGGCTTCACCAGGCTTTACAAGGCTTATTTGATCTTAATTTTCGATCCTGAGATTAGAAGATGTGCTAATTCAAAGCTCAATTCTTCATTTTCATTTCCAGCTCACCTACCAGCCTTTTCAATTGACTTTTATGTCCACTAAACACACTAAACTGAATGGTTACCAAACATTTGACCTTTTGCCATTGGCAATCTAAATTTGAGTTGCAATATCTTGGTGTTGGGCTATCAAATTTAAATATTTTTGTTATTAGATGCGTCAAATTTTTCTCTGCCGCTTAGTACAAAAACTATTTAAATTGAACAGCTCAATACCAAGAAATTTGAGCTTAATGTAGAGCAATGTTAACTGAATACCTTAAAAGTTCGACTGAATTTCATCGGATGACCCTGCGGGACAACCATTTGCCATCGATAGAAAAGTAGATGAAAAATCGAGGAAAGAGTGAGGAAAAGGAGAGAAGTGGCGATTAGCTGCAAAGAATTTCTTTAAGAAAAAAAAAACTCTAGATCTAGATAAGGTTTTGCATTCTTTTAAATTCTTTTAAATTCTTTTAAAATCCCAACAAACCATCAAGATCTCTGGCGGGAGCGCGTGCGAGAGAAGGCCAGTTGGATAGCCGACGGGCATCGGGAAGAAGAAAACCGGGGTGATCATCAAGCCGGCGAACAGATCCAACAACAGTGACCAGATCTGAGGATTTGCCTTTAACAAATGGCATTTAACGCCATTTAACGCCATTTAACCAAATGGCATTTAACGCCACTTAACCAAATGCCATTTAACAAATGGCATTTGGAAGTAAAGCTTATTCTAATCATTATTACTATTACTAATCACTCCTAGTCTAGTAAAGCTTATTCTAATCACTATTACTATTACATTTAACAAATGGCATTTGCAGCCTAACTAATGACGACTATTTTTCGTGTCAACTCAAGTTTTAAAGGAGTTTTCTTATTTATTTCGCAGAAGATTTCTTGATAACTTTGCACTGGTTCCTAGGGAAGAATCTGGGCTATTGAATGAGCTATTATAGCTTCAATTATCTTTGAATTTTCATCAAGTAATAAAGAGATTAAGATTCCTCATTAAATCTTCAGTAAAACATTTAATGACTACGCGACTTTACTCCCAAAATACGAATAAACCGGCCAGCTTATAGAAGAAGCTAGCTAGATACTTGTTCTCAAGAGAAGGTCGTGAAGAACAAGTATCTAGCTAACTTCTTCTTCACGACCTCATCTATAAGAGGGCATCACAGGGGGAGATTAAGGCAGCGAAAGTCTGGGGGATAGTCTGTTAGAATACAAAACCTATCCCATCTTTTTGCTTGCGAGTTCGATTCCGCTTACCGCCAAATCTTTTGCTTTTTTTTGTGAGAGATCGTTTTAAGTATAGAAACTTGTTGATGCTTTCGTGAGACAAACCTGATGATTCGCCAAATGCCATTTGTACGTTTTGAAATGTGTGGGCGATTTGTAGAGGATTATGTAGAGACCGAAAAGGTTTACTGCGACTCCCAACGAGGCCACGCTTTTCGTCATCTCAAATTTCCTGTCCTTCTCAACAATTATTCACTCGCATATCAAATTTGAGTGCATCATCAGCCAGAATGATGTAGTTTGTGCCACAAAAGATGTAAGCAACAAAATGATCGAGATCTTATAAAACTGTGCAAATTCTCGCTCTCAAATTATACAAAGGGTAAATCTATGCTTGAAGAAAGGATCCTGTAATCTACTGTAGACGGATACTGTTTTCTAAAAGATGCTCGTGTACATTTTCCTATCGTACATCATAGTTGCATTGGTACTTGTCGGTTTTAGTATTCACAAAGACTCAACTCGTTTAAGCAAGAAGCTGACAACTTGTGGGAGGTGATTATTTTCAGTGAAGTAGAGTGAAAGTAGAGTGATCAGTCGATCAGCCGAACGAAAATCGATAACCGAGAAGACTCGGATGGGGATGCTTGATCGAGATGAGTCTTTGTGGATGTATAACTGACAAGTACCAAGGCAACTATGATGTACGATAGGAAAATGTACAAATCCGTTGCTGATAGTTCAAATTTTAAAGAAAAACAAACGTTTTGAATAGATTACAATAGCTCTTACCAATAAGGAAGAGCATTTTTTAGAAGTACAAAAAGAAATCCTTGAAAAAGTTTCTCAAGAAAAGTACACTTTTCTAGGTTTACTGTTAGTTTAAGAGTTTCGGATTTTTCAGTTAACCGGTTTATCAAGTGCGTTTACACTTTAATTCTTTTGATTACCTGCAAATAGAACTCGGGTCTTTGGTTGAAAGTGATGTTGAGTGGGTCGAGAAAAGAGAAATGCATCTAAAAGGTGAAGTGGTGTCTTTACAAAACAAAAGAAAATCCTTTGAATAATTCGATGAGAACTGGGAAAAACACACACAAAAGAATCGAATGTTTCGAGAAAATCTTTGAAATATTTCGAAAATGTGGCTAATCTATTTCTTTTTGATCACAAAAATTTCCGCGTCAGATAATGAGAAAGCCGTTTATAATATGCTATTCGGGAGCTATGATCAGGATATCAGGTATGGCTTTTGATTGGGAGTTTCTCGAGAAAGACTTGAACCAAAGCTTGAAACTGGGGTTTTTTTGAGCTTAGGCTTAGCTTAGGCTCAGGCTCAGGCTTAGCTCAGGCTCAGGCTTAGGCTGAGCCTGAGTCTGAGCACTATAATATGCTATTCGGGAGCTATGATCAGGATATCAGGTATGGCTTTTGATTGGGAGTTTTTCGATTTGATTTCGAAAGATTTAAACTAAAGCTAGGCGTGAAACTGGGGTTTTTTTGCGCTCAGGCTTAGGCTTAGCTCAGGCTCAGGCTCAGGCTTAGGCTGAGCCTGAGCCTGAGCACTATAATATGCTATTCGGGAGCTATGATCAGGATATCAGGTATGGCTTTTGATTGGGAGTTTCTCGAGAAAGATTTGAACCAAAGCTAGGCGTGAAAACGTGAAACTGGGGGTTTTTTTTGAGCTTATTTAGCTTATCTGATTCTTGATTGGTTTGACTTTCATCTATGGTTTAGAAATCAGGTTCAATCAACCAGTTTCTGAAGTCAATATGTATCGAGTACAAAATCTCTGTAAAATCTCAGTAAATTTCAAGTTTACTATTTAGTTGAATGAATCTGTTACTTGAATTGCTTCTTAGTTCTTCTTAGTTAAGAAATCTTAGCTAAATCTTTGGCTAAAGCCAAACCCAGGTCTAGCTGACTTTTCGCTCTTTCATGGCAAATGATTTACTCGAGCAAACCGGGCAAATGATTTGCCCGGTTCATTTACCCAACTTGGACTTGGGCAAATGAACCGGACAAATAATTCTGATCATTTTAAATCATTTTTGACATTTTGTAAGTGATCAGTAATCATTTTAGTAGTTTAGACCAACGCCGATAACAGATGATAATTATATAACGAATGTGACGATTACCATAAACTATTTCGTTCTATTGACACTCGATCAACAAGGCGAGCAGATGACTTTCTCGGCGGATGTGCAAAAGGTGAAAAGGCGTCATTTATAAAGAAAAGCTGAGATTTCTAAAAGTAAACTTGAAGCAGGTGAAAAGTTGAGAAAAGGTTTTTGGTTGCTGGGAGAAACGGGAATGTTTCGGAGGATTTCTCTCAGTCAAATTGAGTTAAACAAGAAGGATTTGGTTGTGAAAATGTTGAAAAGGAATCTAGAAGGCATAAATGTTTGGCAATGCTTGGCAATGCTTGGCAATGCTTGGCAATGCTTGGCAATGCTTGGCAATGCTTGGCAATGCTTGGCAATGCTTGGCAATGCTTGGCAATGCTTGGCAATGCTTGGCAATGCTTGGCAATGCTTGGCAATGCTTGGCAATGCTTGGCAATGCTTGGCAATGCTTGGCAATGCTTGGCAATGCTTGGCAATGCTTGGCAATGCTTGGCAATGCTTGGCAATGCTTGGCAATGCTTGGCAATGCTTGGCAATGCTTGGCAATGCTTGGCAATGCTTGGCAATGCTTGGCAATGCTTGGCAATAATGCTTGGCATACAGGTACAAGTTCCTTACAAGGTTGCCATACTAACTAGAGAAATAAAAACAGAGAATAAAGAATCGAGGTCGAGGGTTCGTATAGAGAATAAAAACTAAAAAATTGTTAAAGAAGACAATATCTAAAAGATACAAAAGAGTTCTTTCTTCCTTATGTTTCATATTTCTTCTTCAGCGCATGCTACCCGAGTGGCTCAGTGGTAGAGCGTGTGGTTAGTAAGCGAAGGGTAGATGAAAGGTCGGGGGTTCGAGTCCCCTTGCTCCCTTTTTTTGCCGACTTTTCAATTTATCAATCATCATATCAATTTATCAATCAATTTCAATTTACAGAGTTGGTATGATCCAAATCTCTCATGGGATCCGAGCGCATTCGGCAACACGACAAGAGTGCTTACAGCTGAGAGATCTCTTTGGCGACCTGACATTGCTATTGTTAATGGGTGAGTTGCCGACTAATAAGATGTAAAACTTTAATCTAAAATCTCACCAGCTCACTATCATTTGGGTAATGAAAAAGTGGATAAGTTTTGAGCTATTGAAATGTTTCTTATCTAGCAGCTGAGTAGCTGAGTAGCAAGAAAGAAAATAAGAGTCTGTAAGTCAAAGTCAAAGTAAGCCATTTATCGAAAATTGAATTGACTAGTCAAAGAAAATTCGCACTAAAATTGGGTAAATGAACCGGGAAAAAGTAAACGATCCAGATAATAAAGAGATTAAAATTGCTCATTAAAAATAGAAAAATGAACTCAACCAATTATCAAAGTAATGCGCAAAAAAAAGGGGAATCACAAAATCGAGAATTGGATGCGTTTATTGCTTTCCCCTTTCCAATCAATGCCTTTTTCCCATCTCGAAAAGCGCACCCAAAATAATTATCCGGTAATTCTTTACCCATTTCTCACTCGATTTTTTTTCTTCTTTTTCTTTTTCTTCTTTTTCTCCTTTTTCTTTTTCTTCTTTCTCTTTATTCTATTTTTTGTCTCGATCTTTTGTATTGAGAAACCATAGCAACAAATGGTAAATTCTGATTTTTTTAAGAAAAATTCTTAAAACTATTCAATTTTATAGAATAGACTGATAACTTGAAAATTAATTGAAAAAAAATTGATCTTTTATTGAAATCGTTTGAAAATTTGGATAAAATGAAGTGCCTTTTCTTTAATGAAAAAAAAACAAAAGAAGAAGAAAGAAGTCTCAACTAAATAAAGAACTAAATAAGAACTATAGGGGAACCAAATAGGAACTATAAAGGAACTTTAAAGGAACTATAAAGGAACTAAGTAGGAACTATAAAGGAACTATAAAAGAACTATAAAGGAACTATAAAAGAACTATAAAGGAACTATAAAGGAACTATAAAGGAACTATAAAGGAACTATAAAAGAACTATAAAGGAACTATAAAGGAACTATAAAAGAACTATAAAAGAACTTTAAAGGAACTTGAAAGGAACTAAATAGAAACTATAAAGGAAATATAACAAAGACACAAAAGAAGTCTCAAGGAAACTGCTTTAAAATCGATTTTTCTAGACTAACATAAAAGTAAATGAAAAGGTAATCCTGTCGGGCACTAGAAGTATCTTGTTTTAACAAGAGTTCAGTTCGGTTTGACCTAATTTTTTTAGGAAAATTCTTAAAACTATTCAATTTTATAGAATAGACTGATAACTTGAAAATTAATTGAAAAAAAAATTGATCTTTTATTGAAATCGTTTGAAAATTTGGATAAAATGAAATTTCTTCAATGGTCAATGGATAGTCAAATAAAAAAAGATCAAAAGAAAATCAAAGTCATCGGTAGCCAAACAAAAGAACATCCAAGAAAAGTGCAATTTTTGCTCGACTAATAAAAACGCTAGCTAGATCAGAAGCTAAACCTTTTATGGATTGAAAGTACCTTACTTTGACTAGAGCTGGGTTTGGTCTAGCATAGTTTACAGTAACTCACGTTTAGAACAGGCCACGCCTAAACCTGGCCTCTAATGCTGCCTTGGTTCTAGCTTTCGGTTGGAGCAGCTCTGCTGGTCTATATTTGGGCTTTAACCCGGCCTAACATTTCTTGACCTGTGTTGCATCCGATCTATATTACAGGATCAATTCTATATTACTAAGATCAGAGCCAAAAGGCTAGCTTCTCCTTAGCCGACCTTTTTAGAAGTGAATTTTTTCTTTTCTAGTGCTGCTGAGGAGGACGTGATCGACGCCGACTCACGCTTCTCTGTCGTTTTCAGCGATGGGACGGTTCAGGTTCAAGAAAGGAAAGCTTCCCGAAAATTTGTTTTATTTTTAGACAAGTGTGCCGGCTGTTTACACGACAAGGTGCAGTCTTGATGTGAGTTGGATTAGTGGATTCAAATGAAATTAGCACAATACTACAACAATTCCCATTCTCAGTTGGTCGCTTTCCCGTTCGACTCGCAACAATGCGAAGTGAAGTTCGGTTCGTGGGTGTACACGGTGAACGAGATACAACTCATTGCACAGGAATATGTCTTGAATCCGGGCCCCGATGTGAGTTGGAAAATACCGGATGTTTTTCTTTCTCTACCCCCTTGTATACCATTTTTCTCCCCTCGGCCACATAGACCGGATGGCTCAGTGGTTAGAGCGTCTGCCTGGAAAGCCGATATGGACCATTTGGGGTCGAGGGTTCGATTCCGGCTGAGGAAACTTATCTTCTGGAAAAAAACTTCAATTTTTTTTTAATCTTTATTATTATTACTTTATTTAGTACAAGGGAAACAGCGAATGGACCGTCGAGAACATCTCCGCCTACAACTATTTAGACAATGATGGGGGAATGTATGGGGTAAATGATCAAACACAAATTTCGTTATCAATTTTCATTTAGGAACTCCATTATGTGATTGAATTGAAACGCAAATCGAATTACTACATGTATGTCTTATTTCTGCCCACATTTATCGTCTCAACACTGGCCATTTTCGGTCTCTTCACCCCGCTGAATAATGAAGGAGATCGAGCTGAGAAAGTGTGTTTAAGAAAGGCATATCTAAAGAGGCTTTTCAAGCTTTATTAAGATCATTTTTTTTTACTAGATTTAGAGATCATTTTGTACAAATTTTAATCCTTCAAAAAGGAAACAAACTTATTAATTCGCTTAACGTTAACAACGTTAACCTTTTTCTCTTCAAAACTATTGCCTTTTGCGTTGTTGCCTGTCTAGAAAACTCGAATAAATTGAATTTGATAAATGCTACCATTTGAGCCATTTTATTTATATATATGTTATGTCTGATTTAGACTCAATCTAAAACAGACGTCCGATTTAGATTTTGAGTCTAAATCGGACTTCTGATTAAGATTGAGTCTAAATCGGACGTCTGATTAAGATTGAGTCTAAATCGGACTTCTGATTAAGATTGAGTCTAAATCGGACGAAAATCTAAATCGGACATAACATATATATATTGTAATTAGTCTAATAAACGGCTCCTATAATGACAGCCGGAGCATCACGTAGTCTAACTTTAAGCACCATATTCTTAGCGTCATTTTAGGCTACAGTATGCGCTTAGGCAGCAAACGATAGCCTCAAATCTCAGCTATATTTTAAACCCCAAATATGCATTTAGAGAAAATCTATTAATGAAATGAATTAATGAAATGAATTAATGAAAATTGAAATTTTGCGACTACGCGACTACGCGACTTTACGAGGTGCTTCTATTAGAATGATCTTTTAATTTCCTAGGCTTCTCTCGGTTTAACAACACTTCTCTCACTTGCTGTCATGTTAGACATCGTTGGACAGGATATGCCAAAATCGGCTCCATTGCCACGCTTGGGTACTTTCAGCTCTTGAGGAGTTTTTAAGCTGGAATACGTTTTTTCTGGAAACGTGGAAATCTACTTGGGATTATGGTATGACTCATTGTTTTAGTCTCATTGTTTTCAGGTCGCTACGTTCTTGGCGAGATCGTCATTTGCTCTTTAGGCGTGATGGCTTCGATTTTTCTACAGGTGAAATTTGAATATAAATACCATTACCGTAAATACTGTAATAGTACCCCACCCCCATAATGACGGCGCGGAGTGTTGGGTAGTCTAGCTTTGAACGAGTTTTTCTCGACACTGGTTTATGCTACAATGCGCGCTTAGGTATCAAAAAATAGCTGAAATTCAGGGCTATTTTTTGATACCAAAGATGATGACGGCCGGAGCATCGCGTAGTCTAACTTTGAACGAGTTTTTCTCGACACTGGTTTATGCTACAATGCGCGCTTTGGTATCAAAAAATAGCCCTGAATTTCAGCTATTTTTTGATACCAAAGACGCATTTTTTGGAAAGTATGAGCGCTTTGAAAAATACTAAAAAACTTTTGCGACTAGCGACGACGCGACTGTACGAGGAGGGTGGGGTACTATTACAGTATTTACGGTATTTATATCTAACTAATCAGCTTTTCAGGTATTAAATTTCTATTAAACAATAGCTATCAGATAGCTCATCAACGGACGAACACTCGCGAGTTCATTCCAAGTGAAACGCTGGCAAAGAAAGCTTTCGAGAAATTCCCGAAGACAAATGTAATTATGTAATTCTGAAAAAAGTTTATTGAAAAAAAAAATAAGCTTTAAGGAAACTAGATTGATTATTTAATAAGAAATTTTGATTTTTAATCATGAATTTGTCTAAAAACTCTTGAAAAAGCATAGAAAATTCTAGAATTTAAGGAATTACTTCAGTATATAATACCGTATTTTCTCTAATAGTAGTGCACCGTAAGCTTTGCCTAAATTCCTCGAAATCTCGAGAACCGCTTATCAGAACCTATCGATGTGGGGTCGGAAAATGTAGCTGACGATGAGATCTTGTTGGGGATTTGAGTGTTGAGCTTCTGGGAAAACCTGGAAACCGTAAAATAGTCATCAACTCGGCTCGTCGGGGTGCACTACTATTAGAGAGACAACGGTATTCCTTGTGAGTTGATTTAGTAACTACGGGATTCTCTTTAATAGTAGTGTGCCCTGAGCCTTGCCTAAATTCCTTGAAATCTCGAGAGCCGCTTATCAGAACCTATCGATGTGCGGTCGGAAAATGTAGCTGACGATGAGATCTTGTTGGGGATTTGAGGGTTGAGCTTCTGGGAAAGCTTGGAAAGCTTGGAAACCGTAAAATAGTCATCAACTCGGCTCGTCGGGGTGCACTACTATTAGAGAAAATACGGTATTAGCTTTTAGACAAAATACAATGATAAGACTATAATACTTTTAAATACAATAAACACTGTACTTTTCTCATAAAGCATTTACGATTTAGCCAAGTCGACTGGGTTTACGAGTACTTCGCTCGGCGGACGGACACGAATTCCAGAGTGCGCTCAATGAACTTGAAGTATCACTAAGGGTTTGTTTCCGAAAGTTTTCTTCTTTACTTCTTTTTTTTGTGTACTTTGAAATCAAAACTCTGTAAACATAACCTTTCTCGTACTTTTGTTTCTTCTTTTCTCGCAATAATGCTTTGAAATTTCTAAAGGAAATGAGTGTGTCTTTAGTGCGTTAGAAAGAATACGTTTACAGCTTTCAGCACAAAGTACACTAGTTAAATTGAAGCTAACCTCTCAATAACAAGCCTCAATAACAAGCCTTCCAGAATGTTTGCGATTACATTCGTAAAACGGAGATCCGTGAAGAGTTCTACATATACTGGATTCGTTTCTATGACGTCATCGACTTGGGTCTCTTGTTCGTTTTCCAGGCGGCGAATGTCATTCTAACAATTGTCATTGTGTTGATGTAAATTGTTAATTGAACAAGTGAAACTAAAAGTGTTTAGCAAAAGAAGAAAATTGGCTTACAATTCAAGCTTACAATTGGCTTACACTTGGCTTACACTTGGCTTACACTTGGCTTACACTTGGCTTACACTTGGCTTACACTTGGCTTACACTTGGCTTACACTTGGCTTACAATTGGCTTACAATTGGCTTACACTTGGCTTACAATTAACTGCCGCTAGTCATTCTAGCTTGTCAATTGTTTTTTAAAAAACATACACACAAAAACTAGAAACATTAACCTATTTTATATCTATGCTTTATTGAATTGAATAGCTCCCAAAAAAAAAGATCACAATAATCACCCATCACACAATAGAACATCACTCAAACCCACCCAAAAGATCAAAAGATACCTCAAGAAAGAATCAGTGTAGAGTAATCTTTACTATTGGGTTGATGCAAAAGTCCTTTCAGATTTTTTGGGAGAGTACCTTAAATTTGTCGAATTTTGACGTATCGTTTTTTTTCAATCTTCTTAGTACTAGACTATTAGTTGTTGTTACTTTCTTTCAATTTTCTTTCTTTCTTGAAGGAAACGTGATGGGTGGTCGCGGGCTTTGTGAGTCCTCATTCTCTTTTCCCCATCAATTCCCCTCCTCCCATTCCCCTTTTCACAAAACAACCCATAGTCACCCAGTAAAATCATCGTTTTTATTGTGATTTTCTAAGCAAAAACTTATCTAATCGATGTTGGAATGCGGTTTTGAGGATGTTTTTTTGATTCAAGAATATTTCAATGAGTGAAATCGATTGGATTGGTCATTAAAGGTGACCAAATCGGAGAAATCCTGATTTTGCTAGTTCTGAATGAGCGTTTTGAGCATGAGCATCCTCTCTGGGAAATCTGCTGATAAACTCGAGGGAGCATTTCTAAAATTCCATACAAAACTTCACATGCTTGTAACTTTTGACAGAGTGCCGTTTAGCAAAAATGGAAAGCAGATTCGGATTCAGCATGAAACTCTTGGTCGATAGGTCTATGGCTCATGCTCATTTGGCCAGCTTATCCAGTTGACCTTCTCTTGTAAGGTTAATTCCATTTATAAGTTCAATGTAGTATCAAGAAAGCAAAAATAAAGATCCCAAAAAAAGCGCAAGGGATTCAAACCAACGACTAAATTAGATATTCAGAGTCAGACCCTCTCGGGTTCAAGTCCGCATTTTGATCTTGCACTTTTTTTTCTTCGAAACCACTTTTTCCGTTTTATGCGTCGATTCCGAAAAACACAACGAGAGCTTGGGAAAAGGCGTTTTAAGTCGAGTTTCGAGGCTTTAAAGTGCGCGCTCATAGAGTGTGATGAGTGGAATACACGTCGAGTTTCGAGGCTTTAAAGTGCCCGCTCATAGAGTGTGATGAGTGGAATACACGTCGAGTTTCGAGGCTTTAAAGTGCCCGCGCATAGAGTGTGATGAGTGTGACGAGATCATTTGTCGAAAATTGCAATACAAAACTCAATATCAATGTTTGTTCGTACAACGATTTCGAAAGATCTTCTTCCATGGACCAAAAATCACGTTGACAAGAGGATTTGCTGAGCAGATGCAGAGTAGATGATGCTGATGCTCACAAGGCTGATTCAGCACTGGCGCAATCAGGATTTCTTCGATTTGGTCACCTTTAATGACCAATCCAATCGATGTCACTCATTGAAATATTCTTGAAGCAAAAAAACATCCTCAAAACCGCATTCCAACATCGATTAGATAAGTTTTTGCTTAGAAAATCACATTAAAAAACGATGATTTTACTGGGTGACTATGGGTTGTTTTGTGAAAAGGGGAATGGGAGGAGGGGAATTGATGGGGAAAAGAGAACGAGGACTCACAAAGCCCGCGACCACCCATCAAGTTTCCTTCAAGAAAGAAAGTAACAACAACTAGCCGCATAATAATAACAAGATTGAAAAAAAAACGATGGATTAGCTTTTATTTGCTTATCACGATGAACAAATCATAACAATGTTTTCGATGTTCACATTTCGATGTTTGTTTCAGATAGTGAAAGAGTTGGAAATGGGGAATAACTCAACTCGGCTAAGATTCTAAGGATAAAGGAATTGTTTTCAATTGCGCACTTGATCAAGAATGAATCACAGAGCTCTAGTCAATTGCTGTGATTACAATATCGCGACATGCAGACGGGGAAACGAGTTTTTCGGGAGCATTATTGGAAAAATTAAAAAATGCAGGGCATTGCATATTTATGCAGGGCATTCTTTTGGAAAGATTCTTAAGGGGTTCAGGTGAGAAAATGGTTTCACTTTAAACGTGTTTTCTGTATGTTTTGGACCAAGAACTATTGTTCAAAATAGTTTTCAACAATTTTAACACTTTTGATTTCTAATCCATTTTTATGGGCAGTCGATTTTGGGAGGTTCAAAAGGTTCAAAAGGTTCAAAAGGTTCAAAAGGTTCAAAAGGTTCAAAAGGTTCAAAAGGTTCAAAAGGTTCAAAAGGTTCAAAAGGTTCAAAAGGTTCAAAAGGTTCAAAAGGTTCAAAAGGTTCAAAAGGTTCAAAAGGTTCAAAAGGTTCAAAAGGAAGGTTCAAAAAATTAAATGGGCATGCCCTTCTAATAGAATAGTTACGCTACTTAGGATTCTAAATGAAAGAAGATTTTCAAGAAGATTCAGGGCTATTTTTTGATACCAAAGATGCATTTTTCGAAAGTATGGGTGCTTTGCAAAAAAAATGAAATACTAAAAAACTTTAGCGACTACGCGACTGTACGAGAGGGGATGGGGTATTATTACAGTATTTACGGTAACTTCTGTTATATAGCAGTTGATCTTGATGAATTTGCGATGAAATGGCAAAGAAAAACGATGAAAAATGAATAAAAATAACGAAAAATCGCTTCATTGGAAAAATGGCAATGGAAATTGCGGATTACGGTAGCTAGTGCATTTTAGAATGCGTCCCGAAAATTTTTCTTTGCTTCGTGAACATCGAAAACATTGTTATGATTTGTTCATCGTGATAAGCACATAAAAGATAATCTATCCTTTCTTTTTTTCAATCTTCTTAGTACTATGCGGCTAGTTGTTGTTACTTTCTTTCAATTTTCTTTCTTTCTTGAAGGAAACTTGATGGGTGGTCGCGGGCTGTGTGAGTCCTCGTTCTCTTTTCCCCATCAATTCCCCTCCTCCCATTCCCCTTTTCACAAAAAAACCCATAGTCACCCAGTAAAATCATCGTTTTTTAATGTGATTTTCTAAGCAAAAACTTATCTAATCGATGTTGGAATGCGGTTTTGAGGATGTTTTTTTGATTCAAGAATATTTCAATGAGTGACATCGATTGGATTGGTCATTAAAGGTGACCAAATCGAAGAAATCCTGATTGCGCCAGTGCTGAATCAGCCTTGTGAGCATCAGCATCATCTGCTCAGCAAATCCTCTTGTCAACGTGATTTTTGGTCCATGGAAGAAGATCTTTCGAAATCGTTGTACGAACAAACATTGATATTGAGTTTTGTATTGCAATTTTCGACAAATGATCGATTTGCTTCGATCAGCACTGAAAAAAGGAGATTTTACTGAAATAGATATCGTATCGTAACCGATTAATCACATAATTTAATCAATTTTTTAACGAATCCACCATCTAATCGATGATTTTCGATTTCTTCTCGATCCAATTCATTTGAACGGCTAAGAAAATTTTGAATAAATTCGAATAAACAAGTTTATTCTAATTTATTCAAAAACAGCAAAATAAAAAAAAATTGTCAAAAAGCGTTTACAAAAAGTTACTTACATAAGGCGATTGAAAAAACCGGCAATAGGATATGTCCGCCAAATGGGGATTTTTTTGGAAATCTTTTAGAAGCAGGAGTTTTCTTTTTTCAAGAAGGAAAAATACAATACAAAGAAAAAAAAGAAAAAATTTGCGTCATTTAGGTGCTAAAAGGAAATCTATAGCTGGCTATGTCTTTTTGCAGATAAAAGCGATGGGCGTGTGACCGGTGTTGAGACCGGCAGGGAGATCGTTCCATGTGGCCAGCAGGTCAGGGTGTCGGAGATTCATCTAGGTATCTCTTAGCTTAACTTTTAGCTTTTGAATTCATATAGGAAATGACCTGTATAGGAAATGACCAGCTTTTAAACTTAAACATCGTCTAGCCAATGTGCAAAGCTTGACCCCAAGGGTTACTCCGTTTTTCTATCGTTTATGAGACGCGGGTATTAACTTCAAGTCTAGTTGCCGGCTAACTTCAAGTCTAGTTGCCGGCTAAACGGCTAAATTTTCCAGTTTTTGATCGAATCGACGAAGCAATTGATCTCACTCACAGCCACTCCGGTTTCGCTGAGAGTGTTCGGCTCGTCGGGCGACCAGTTTTGATACTCAACGCTGCTCCAGTCGGTCCATTGGAACTTGTTGGGATCGCGTAGGCTTCTCTAAAACAAAGTTGATGTTTCCTATTTAACGTATTCATAGTGGCTTTTGATGGCTTTGATGAAAGTGTTTTTTTCGTCATTTATAGGCGTTCAGCTCACCTCCAATCCTATCCAGAGCCACCATGAGCCAGTATTGTTTCTTGCTAAATATGATTTCAAAGTGAGCAATGTTTGAGTCTAATGCGGAATTTAACTAACGTACCAAGGTGAAAAATGAACTTGTTCTCATCCTGGCTTTGAATCGATGCCAAATGTCCGTTCTCCTCTTGACAGTCACTTTCTGCCGAATCAAAAGGCTCTTTCTTTCGGGAACACCTAGAATTTATATGAAAAAGAAAATACCGTTGCAATTTAACTACCTTGTACCATCGTTTCGTTATCTCAAAATATGTCCAGCCATTCGCTCTAGGATCTGGTGTAGCCGTTGCACTGGTTTCACCGCTCACTCCGACTAATTTTTTACTAAATAAAAGCTCTTTCTAATACCGATTTTTGTAAAATGTTGGGTCTTGAATTGTGTATCTGTTACGTCCGAATCTGAGGAGATTCATTCTCCTCCGAAACGGACGTCCGACTCAGAGATGGACGTCCGATTCAGAGATGGACGTCCGACTCAGAGATGCACGCCCGACTCAGAGATGCACGCCCGACTCAGAGATGCACGCCCGACTCAGAGATGGATCGGAGATGGACGTCTCCTCAGATTCGGACGTAACATATCTACTTTGAAGTAGAAATTGGTGAAAGCAACCAGTTCGAGAAATCTTGAATCAAACTAGGTTAGCTTTTGGATAGACACTAAAGACCAATACAAATGAGTTCTCGAATCGCATGTCTACTTTCAAGTACCTCGTTGTCTCCTTTTCGGCCTCTGATTCGTCTCGGTTTAAATAAGCAAAAGCGAGCACGATAAAAAAGACGAAAAAAAACCCCTCCGATCAAACAGAGAACTTTTCGCGTTATGAAGACAAAAGCCTCAAAGCCAAACATCGACAACAACGAGATTAAGTCCAGTCACTTGCAAGGGCAAAGGCTCTTGGTTTATTTTTGCCACTCGACACTCATTGTCAACACTGAAACTGATCAACAGTTGAATTGTCAAATCCCTCAACGAATGGGATTCAAAGGGGGACTAAGAATCGAGGCCCATTGAAAGGGCTAAATTAAATCCGGTCAAATCTTCAAACCCACTTGTGGTCAAGGATTGTTTTGGACCTAAAAACTTGGATGAAGATTCCGGCTTAGTAATCAAAACTCACAAAGTCTCTTGGCAAGTTGTGAGAAGTTTGGCGATCTCGGATTGTTCTTGTTTTGATGAGGTTCTGAAGATTTTGAAGCTCAATTCTATGACAAGAGCCCTTTTCCATTTACTAACTTTAATTTCTCGATTTGTTCATCGTTTTCTTTCATGAGTTGTTGATGTTTATCCAAGCAAGTTGTGTGATTTTCCCTAAATTTTGCTACAATTTGGAGTGGCTGACTGCAGAAGCAACTCCTCGCCAACTCACTTGTGATCAAAGGTTGCTTTCGACCTAAAAAAAAATCTTGTTGAAACATTTTTAGCTGAACAATTTTGACTCACAAAGTCTCTTGACAAGTTGAGAGAAGTTTGGCTGGCTCGGATTGTTCTTGTTTTGCGTTGGCTCTGAAATGGATACGAATGGCTACGGAAAGATTTTTAAAATTGCTTTCGCTAACAAGTGCTGTGCAAACGTTCAAAACTTAAAAATGTCCATTCTCGTCAACAAGATTACTCACATCACTTTCTCCATTTGTTGATCTGTCTCTTTCGTCAGTTGCTGGTGCTTATCCAAGCAAGTTGTGAGGTTTTGCCTAAATCAGTAAATACGTAAACGTAAACAAATCAGTAAATTTTGTTTTAGAACTGTTTTAATTTGTTTTAAAAAGGGCTAAACTCAATCCGGTCAAATCTTCAAACTCACTTGTGGTCAAGGATTGTTTTGGACCTAAAAACTTGAATGAAGATTCCGGCTTAGTAATCAAAACTCACAAAGTCTCTTGACAAGTTGAGAGAAGTCTGGCTGTCTCGGATTGTTCTTGTTTTGCGTTGGTTCTGAAATGGATAACTAGAATAGTTCAATTTTTGATTTTAGATCAATGCTCTCACTTACAACTCTGATCACTTTAGATCAACTCTGATCACTTTAAACTATGTCAATTACAGAACCCAAAAGGGCACAAGGAATATACTCAAGTTTAGTGGTCCATCAATCTCAATCCGCAAAACAGGCATGTTGATTCGCCTTAAATGGGAATTCGGTCGCCCATCGGCAGAGTACTTTCCCCGAGTGTTATGTATAGCTCTGGTCAAGGTAGATAAGCAGCTACAGATTCCAACTTGTTAACCAAAACTCGAAAAGTCTCTTGGCAAGTTGTGAGAAGTTTGGCTGTCTGGGATTGTTCTTGTTTTTGCGTTGGCTCTGAAATGGGTTCAGAAAGGTGTTGAAAATTGCTTTCTCTGACAAGTTTTTCCCCAAGAACCTCACAATAACGATTGTTTCGCAAATTTCAGTTGTTGATCTAATTCTCTAGCCAAAAGCAAAAAGCTTTCCCTTCACTAACCTCACTTTTTCCAAATCTCGATCCTTCTCCTGACAAATCAACTGATTTTTCGTAAACTTGCTTGTGAACTTTGCGATTGGCGGCACGGTTTTAAGCGAAAAGAATTTCAAGCCGAAACAAAGTCTTTTTAAACAAAGTTTTCTTTAAACAAAGTCTTTTTTTAAACAAAGTTTTCTTTAAACAAAGTCTTTTTTAAACAAAGTCTTTAAGTCACTTTGTATCCAACTTTGTTTTATCTTTAAAATCGTTCAATTTTTGATTTTAGCTCAACCCTCCTGACAACTCTCCTGACATTTTAGCTCAACTACTCTCACTCACAATTCGGTTCGACAAATTTTGAGAAGTCTGACTGCTTGAATCTCCTCATCCTTGCAATAACTAAATTCTTTGGGGTTTATTCGGGAAATTTTTATTTCTCACAAATCTCGAGTTTTTCCTGAGAGAGACTCACCGTTATCGGGTCGGCTGTAACTCGAATTTGTGTACTATGACTTTGTGAATATGGTTAGCCTACTAACACTTGCGATTCAAATGTGTCAAATTTGATGGCTTTTGGCCTAGCTTGGTCTAGCCAGGTTTTGAAAGAGCTCACACCAGGGACACGACAAAACCTTGTTGTTGTTAGACTTGATCTTGAAAGAGCTCACACCAGGGACACGACAAAACCTTGTTGTTGTTAGACTTGATCTTGAAAGAGCTCACACCAGGGACACGACAAAACCTTGTTGTTGTTAGACCTGATCTGACTTGTTGTTGTTAGACCATTTTGTTGTTAGATCATCCATCTAGTGCCGAAACATTATATGGATAAAATCTTTGATTCACCATTTTTAGTGTAAAAAATCATTTAGTCATTTAGTTTTGTTTAAAAGCAGTACATTTGGAATACAGCGACTGTGGCGATGATTCCGAGAGTGATTCCAAAAATGAGCAATAGGATTCCTTTGATGAGATGAGATCGATCATTTTGGGATATGGCCCTGGAAATTCCATTTCCAATTACCAGATCGATCAAGTTGCCATATCATATTCAAAGAAAAACAAAATCCATTCAAAGCCGCTCAGAGAATTGAGAAAGCTTTCAAAAAACTTACCCATTTCGTTCGGTGATTTCCATTTGCTCCATAAACGAGTCTATAACTAGGGTTCGATTCAGCGCAGAAGAATAAACAACCATAGAACAACCATCGAACAAAGCCGCTCAGAGAACTATATAGCCTCGGGCCTTCAATAGGCTTTTGCAAGAAATCGAACAACTGTTTCTGTTTTTCTGCACCAAATCTGTTTGTTTCTTTTCAGTTCAAAAGCGCTATTTGATAGCTTTGTTCGCATTTTGATTTCAATTTTGCAACAAAAGTTTACGTTTCTGAGTACAGAAAACCTTAAAAATAAGAAATTTTGCAATTTCCGACGTTTTGCAAAAAACACTGAGAATATTCAATTGCATTTTCATGGATTGACCCAAAAAAAATCTTGTTGAAACATTTTTGGCTGAACAATTTTGACTCACAAAGTCTCTTGACAAGTTGTGAGAAGTTTGGCTGTCTGGGATTGTTCTTGTTTTTGCGTTGGCTCTGAAATGGGTTCAGAAAGGTGTTGAAAATTGCTTTCTCTGACAAGTTTTTGCCCAAGAACCTCACAATGGTTCTGAAATGGATAACTAGAATAGTTCAATTTTTGATTTTAGATCAATGCTCTCACTTACAACTCTGATCACTTTAGATCAACTCTGATCACTTTAAAATATGTCAATTACAGAACCCAAAAGGGCACAAGGAATATACTCAAGTTTAGTGGTCCATCAATCTCAATCCGCAAAACAGGCATGTTGATTCGCCTTAAATGGGAATTCGGTCGCCCATCGGCAGAGTACTTTCCCCGAGTGTTATGTATAGCTCTGGTCAAGGTAGATAAGCAGCTACAGATTCCAACTTGTTAACCAAAACTCGAAAAGTCTCTTGGCAAGTTGTGAGAAGTTTGGCTGTCTGGGATTGTTCTTGTTTTTGCGTTGGCTCTGAAATGGGTTCAGAAAGGTGTTGAAAATTGCTTTCTCTGACAAGTTTTTGCCCAAGAACCTCAAAATAACGATTGTTTCGCAAATTTCAGTTGTTGATCTAATTCTCTAGCCAAAAACAAAAAGCTTTCCCTTCTTGATAGCTTTGTTCGCATTTTGATTTCAATTTTGCAAAAAAAGTTTACGTTTCTGAGTACAGAAAATCTTTAAAAAAAAAGAAATTTTGCAATTTCCGACGTTTTTTGCAAAAAACACTGAGAATATTCAATTGGAATCTTCAATTGCATTTTTATTTGAAATTAGCTTATTCTCTTCAAAACCTTTATTTCAATTCACAAAAAATACAAGACAAATGAAAAATAAAAACAGCGAAATCAAATATGTTTTGTGCATGCACCCGATTCACTTTATATTACAATTCATCAAGTTGAAATTTTTGGGGGAATTTTCTACAATTTTCTACGATTTTCAACATTCTAAAACTCTAAAAAGCTCTAAAAAGCTCTAAAAATTGCTTATGATCTAAAAAGTTCTATTATATGATCTAAAAAGCTCTATTATATGCTCTAAAAAGCTCTAAAAAGCATTGAATTCCAAGTTCCAATCAAAAACTAGGAAAAACTTGTAATAAGACTTAAAAATTTTGTGATAATTGAATGAATATACAAAAACAAGATGACACATGAAAAGTACCGTATTCATCTTATCTATATAACACCATTTAGATGATGATCATTCACAGTCAATAGGGTCAATCGCATACCGGGTGAGAGAGATCGTTTTCGTGTCATTTGTTGGCTGAGAGACGAGGGGGAAGGCTCTCCGCCAACTGCCGTCTGATCGCTTGAATTGATCGCTTTTTGTGGCTTCTAAACCTTCGGCGATCCGATCACTCGACGATTTAGAAAATGAACGAACACTGTACAACGAACACTGTGAACACTGAACACTGTTCCTAGAAACGAACACTGTTCCTAGCTCATTTCCCTTGAACTATTTGCTTGAAGTATAGCTCAATTTTTGGTGTTACTTTCCCTTTTTTAGAGCACCTCCATAATAGGCGTACAATCGCGTAGTCTAATTTGGTCTAATAATAACGTCCCGTTCTCCGCGCTGCTTTACGCTACAGTTTGCGCTTTTGTGAAATGATAGCGCTTCAAATCTAGTATTTTTGGTACCAAAAGTTTAGTTGGGAGAAATCTAGGGGCTGAGAAAAATGATTTTCTAAAAAAGACTACGATTGTACGATGTACGATGTACGATTGTATGATGTACGATTGTACGATGTACGATTGTACGATGTACGATTGTACGATGTACGATGTACGATGTACGATGTACGATGTAAATAAATTGCTTATGATCTAAAAAGCTCTATTACCGTATTTTCTCTAATAGTAGTGCACCCCGGCGAGCCGAGTTGGTGACTATTTTACGGTTTCCAAGCTTTTGCAGAAGCTCAACACTCGAATCCCTCACAAGATCTCATCGTCAGCTACATTTTCCGACCTCACATCGATAGGTTCTGATAAGCGGTTCTCGAGATTTCGAGCAATTTAGGCAAAGCCTACGGTGCACTACTACAGTGCGTTTCAAATTCTTAAACGCACCCTCTAAAATAGCGAATTTTGCATTTTGACCACCTCTACAACTATTAATCTTTTATCTATTAGAAAGAGCATGTCTTAAAACCTAAATAACACGAAAAATAAGCATACTGTAAAAAACAAAAATTTTCAAAATAGAAAACCGTTTCAAATTCTTAAACGCACTATGAAAACATTTTTATTTATCGACACAAATTAAAAATCAAAGGTAAAAAATCAAAACTAATGATCTGTACACGCACCAGAACGAGTAATTACTTGAAAAATGCGGTCTGGCATTGAATTGATGAGGTTTTGAAGAGCAGAGACGTCGAGATTGCGCCAGGCCAAAAAAAATTGCTGTTTTAAGTATAGAAACGTCTTGAAACTGACGTCTTGAAACTGCAAAATGCGCTATTTTAGAGGGTGCGTTTAAGAATTTGAAACGCACTGTATTAGAGAAAATACGGTATATGCTCTAAAAAGCATTGAATTCCAAGTTGCAATCAAAAAAAAATCACAAACTAAAGGAAGAGTAAAGCGAAAAATGTCAGCAAATTTTAGGAGAAAGTGTGTAAGTATTTGTATTAGAGATCAAGAAAAAGAGAGAGAAATACACCGTGGATTAAAAAGATAAGAATGGACAAGGAGACGCGTAATTCTGATAGACCGGTAGCTGGTGGAAATTTATCGCCTTTCTCACATCATTTCTCGAATTTTTTTTCCCAAAAATTCTCATTTTCTAGTGCTTTCTGGTGCATTGAATTCTTGATTTTCCTCTCAACAATCATCCGATTGCAAAGAAAATCTTTTTTTCAGAGTTTGTTTACAAAGAGAACAAAATACTTGTAGCTATGGACTTTCTCAAACTTGTGGCAATATCACTGGCGTTTTGGAGTGGAACTTTATCGATTGGAGAAGATGATTTGGTAAGTTTTTTGTAGTTTTTGGTAGTTTTTTGGTAGTTTTTGGTAGTTTTTGGTAGTTTTTGATAGTTTTTGATAGTTTTTTTGTAGTTTTTTGTAGTTTTTGATGGTTTTTGGTAGTTTTTATTTATTCTTTAAAAAGAAAACATTTCAATTTTTTAAAATGAATCAAATTTTTAAGGTAAAAGATCTTCCGGGTCTCATTTTCAATGTGAACTTTAAAATGTACTCTGGCTATTTGAACGCCAATCAAAATGGATCATGGAAAATGCATTACACGTGAGGAAAGAAATAAAAATGAATAATTGATCGTGATCTTTGAAGAATTGCTTTAAATAGAGGCTACGTTTTACTAGTTTTACTAGAATCTAGATGGAAATCAATGTACTTTAGATTAACGGAATCCCGAAATGATCCAGCCAACGATCCGTTACTTGTTTGGTTTAATGGCGGTGAGTTGAGATGAACTTTATGTCCCATAAACGCAAGCCAACTGGCACATGGAAATCTTTAGAATTATGGAAGATAAACTGGTAACCCGCCAAGCCGATTTGATCACTATTTTACGGTTTCTAAGTTTGCTGTTCGGGCAACTACTGAGCTCTAACCTCTACCATTGAGCTCTAACCTCTAACCATTGAGCTCTAACCTCTACCATTGAGCTTTAACCTCTACCATTTAGCTCTAACCTCTACCATTTAGCTCTAACCTCTAACTACTGAGCTCTAACCTCTAGCATTTAGCTCTAACCTCTAACTACTGAGCTCTAACCTCTACCATTTAGCTCTAACCTCTACCATTTAGCTCTAACCTCTAGCATTTAGCTCTAACCTCTAACTACTGAGCTCTAACCTCTACCATTTAGCTCTAACCTCTAACTACTGAGCTCTAACCTCTAGCATTTAGCTCTAACCTCTAACTACTGAGCTCTAACCTCTACCATTTAGCTCTAACCTCTAGCATTTAGCTCTAACCTCTAACTACTGAGCTCTAACCTCTACCATTTAGCTCTAACCTCTAGCATTTAGCTCTAACCTCTAACTACTGAGCTCTAACCTCTACCATTTAGCTCTAACCTCTAACTACTGAGCTCTAACCTCTACCATTTAGCTCTAACCTCTAGCATTTAGCTCTAACCTCTAACTACTGAGCTCTAACCTCTACCATTTAGCTCTAACCTCTAGCATTTAGCTCTAACCTCTAACTACTGAGCTCTAACCTCTACCATTTAGCTCTAACCTCTAGCATTTAGCTCTAACCTCTAACTACTGAGCTCTAACCTCTACCATTTAGCTCTAACCTCTAACTACTGAGCTCTAACCTCTACCATTTAGCTCTAACCTCTAGCATTTAGCTCTAACCTCTAACTACTGAGCTCTAACCTCTACCATTTAGCTCTAACCTCTAACTACTGAGCTCTAACCTCTACCATTTAGCTCTAACCTCTAGCATTTAGCTCTAACCTCTAACTACTGAGCTCTAACCTCTACCATTTAGCTTTAGCCTCTACCATTTAGCTCTAATCTCTAACCATTGAGCTCTAATCTCTACCATTGACTTCTGGTTGACTTCTGATTCCAGGTCCTGGTTGCTCCTCGTTTGCTGGTCAATTCGAAGAACTTGGTCCGTTCTATGTGAATAAAGATGGGAAAAGTCTATATGAGAATGTCTACTCGTGGAATGCTGTGAGTTATCGGCACTTAAAAACTCGATTTTGTAACGAAAAAGATGTGTCAATCGTTGACAATTGTAAGATTTTTCATCTTTTTCTTTACATCAACCCTTCGCTTTTGACTATCGTTTGATGTCGAATGAAATTGCGCATCGAATGATGCAAAAATGAACTCAAAATTTCATATCTATGTAAATTTGTTGGCTAAAAACCTAAACCCTACCATTATCAGCGGGAATTAACCGCAGAGATTACGAAGACTACGAATCAGGACTATAAACAGCTGTAACTTTCTTTAGCAGGACTATAAACAGCTGTAACTTTCTTTAGCATTCATATCTTTCGTTGTACTTTACTCGATTCGAAAGCTCTTGAAATTCTCGATTTTTTAAGCTATAGATCGTTTTCAAATTCGATAGATTTGAAGTAAAAAAAAAGGATTTATGGTGTGACAGTTCGTCATTTCTGTACTTTCTGTACTTTCTGTACTTTCTGTACTTTCTGTACTTTCTGTACTTTCTGTACTCTCTGTACTTTCTATACTCTCTGTACTCTCTCTACTTTCTGTACTTTCTGTACTTTCTGTACTTTATAGTACCAATTTTTGTGCAAATTCATGATCAATTCTAGCGTGCAAACGTGCTCTACTTGGAATCGCCAATCGGTGTCGGCTTTTCGTATGATACGAACACGAACAACTACACATATGCCTCCGATGATCAAACGGCCGATCAAAACTATGCGGCACTCAAAGATTTCTTTGCCAGGTAAAACAAGAGAGGATTTTCGAAAATGTTTCCCCTTTCCTACCATTTTCTTGTCCAATTCTTCTCAAATCTATCTACTACTATCCTTTTTGAATCCTCAAAACAAAACAAACCAAAAAGTAATTGCATAAAAAAAAGAGACAAGTTTACGGTAGAAAGGGGGAAACGTTTACTGTATTTTCTCTAATAGCAGTGCACCGTAAGCTTTGCCTAAATTCCTCGAAATCTCAAGAAGCGCTTATCAGAACCTATCGATGTGGGGTCGGAAAATGTAGCTGACGATGAGCTCTTGTGAGGGATTTGAGTGTTGAGCTTCTGTGAAAACTTGGAAACCGTAAAATGGTCATTAACTCGGCCCGATGCTGTGCACTACTATTAGAGAAAATCCGGTATATGAAAATAGCTAGAAATAGGAAAGAGCTTATTGCACCAAATTTTCGTAATCTCATCATTTATGATTTAGAGTTCAAACGAAATACCAAAAACGCAAGTTTTTCCTCTCTGGTGAATCCTATGCGGGAATCTATATCCCAATGCTCTCCGCTCGCTTAGTCAAAGGGATCAATTCGAACGATTTCCCGAATCCCAACTTTCAGGTACAGTAAGTGAAGAGAATGTTATCTAGTGTAAAAAAGAAATTGGCAAGAAAAAGTCGATTTCTTGAGAGGGAATTGAAGCTTTGACCTTTGCTTTGACCTTTGCTTTGACCGCAACTACTGAGCTCTAACCTCTAACCACTGAGCTATTCGTTATCTCAATCTGCCAAGAGAAAGAAAGAAAGAAAGAAAGAAAAGGGGGAAGAAGAAAGAAGAAAGAAGAAAACAAGCTTCTACAGCTTACTCTAGCTTTGCTGCAAATCTAGCCCACAAACATCTTTGACCAAGCTTACCAGAATCCAGAGGTTGAACTGATTTCTGGTCGGACTTTGGCCTGACCCAGTTTACGGACTTTTAAACAACTTTCAGTATTGCTAAACAAGTTTCCAGTTTTGTTAACACGAAACGAGCCTACTCATCTATTTCTCTTATCAATATTTCGATTTTATTGTTATTAACGTTAACGTTAACGCTGTCTGCATTTTTAGATCTAAAGATAGAGGTTCGTTATCTATAGATCATATCTTATAGATCTAAAGACCGTTTTAGAAATTCCAGTCACCTCCAATAAGTTTGTGCTAAACTCTTTTCCAATAAGAACTGCCAGGAATTTGGAATCGATTTCCCAGAGTTTTGTGGGAATAGTCTTGAAACCTTCAAATGATCTGTAGATGCTCTTGAAGCTCTAAGTGAATTCTTGACGTTATCTGTGCTATCCATATGTCGTAGCCGTTTACCAAATTCAGCGGCTAACGAATGATTCGTTAGCGGCTGAATTTCGTAAACGGCTACGACACATATCTTCCATACATTATATCATGTTGCTTTTTTGTCGGCCTTTTTCGTGTTATGTATTATGAATTCATGTGTGTATTCATCTTAAATCTAGCGTACTTTATTTCAGGTCCTGAATAAAGTTAGGGAAAAGAGGAAAATAAGCTTCTACAATGCAGCTTTTAGCTTACTCTAGCTTTGCTGCAAATCAAATTTTTTGTTGTATTATAACTACAGAACTGGACAATGAAATATCATATTTGAAAAACGATCGTCACTTTCGCGCGTCTGTAACTCCCTTGTCTTTGAGTTTAAACTATTAGTGTTATACATTTTCTGGAAGCTCTTTTCAAAGGGCTACACAATGGTAATATTAATATTTAGAAATACGGTAAAGACAAGGGAGTTACAGACGCGCGAAAGTGACGATCGTTTTTCAAATATGATATTTCATTGTCCAGTAGTGTATCTATCAATCAATCAACCAATCAACCAATCAATCAATCTATCTATCTATCCATCCATCCATCCATCTATCTATCTATCTATCTATCCATCCATCTATCTATCTATCTATCTAAAAGATCATTTATCAATCATTTAGGGATCGGCAATTGGAAACGGTTTCATGAATGTGGCCTATTTGCAAAATTCGCTTATCCTCTGGAGCATGTACCATGGACGAATCTCGTTGGAGTGAGTTTAAACATTCGAATTCTTCAAGTCAACCTAAACATCTGCCTCTTTCGTTGAATATTTTCGTTTTTCTATAAGATAGCAAGTGTACTGTAGCATAGAGATGTAGAAAAGCTAATGCTCTTTCAATTACTTCTTTAAAACTTTTCTTGACAAGTTGACAAGCTGATCTCAAGACAAAATTTCGAATCGGAAACGAAAATGTATAGTGTCTATAGTTTATTTGTTTTAAAAATGTGATTGTAAACTCGCTGTGAAGGTAACAGCTTGTCTGTGAAGGTAACAGCTTGTCAACTATAGCAAATTTTAAGGCTATAAGAAAAAAAGTGAACAGTAGAGCAAAAAAATTCGAAATTTTCAGTGACTGGGACGATATCAAGAAGTATTGTCGTGATGATCAAACCACTGATATGGACAATGTGAGTGTGAAATCACATTCGATATTCTCGAAACATTCAGGTGGATTTCTCGAAGCATTTCATCTCCACCACCAATCAAATCGATTACGTGAGCGATAACTCTCGTTGCGGAAATCTCACCGCTCAGTGGCTCATTTTGCCCGATAAGTTTGTGTTTCGTAATGCTAGAAAGACAAAAAGACAAAACAAAAAGACAAAACAAAAAGACAAAACAAAAAGACAAAACAAAAAAGCATAAACTTCTCCCGTAATCCTTTTCCCTTTTTAGCATGGATCAATACAATTACTATCAAGATTGCTATACGGGAAGTTCGATAAACGTCGTCAATGCAACTGTTTCATCGTTTACCGAGAAACCAGAACATGCTGGTTTGGTTGTAAAAGAAAACTGCTATAGAACTGCTGTTTTTTCAATTAAAAATCTAGATATAGATCTAGATATGGATCTAGATATAGATCTAGATATAGATCTAGATATAGATCTAGATATAGATCTAGATATAGATCTAGATATAGATCTAGATATAGATCTAGATATAGATTTAGATATAGATCTAGATATAGATCTAGATATGGATCTAGATATGGATCTAGATATAGATCTAGATATAGATCTAGATATAAATCTAGATATAGATCTAGATATAGATCTAGATATAGATCTAGATATAGATCTAGATATGGATCTAGATATGGATCTAGATATAGATCTAGATATGGATCTAGATATAGATCTAGATATAGATCTAGATATGGATCTAGATATGGATCTAGATATGGATCTAGATATGGATCTAGATATAGATCTAGATATAGATCTAGATATGGATCTAGATATAGATCTAGATATATTACCGTAGTTAAATTATCGTTCAAGAATCGTTCAAAAATCGTTAAACAATCTTTTACTCTTCAATAATTTCAAGGTAAAAACTTCAAGCGTGTCTTCGCTGGGCCACGACGCTTTGGGTTAGATCCAAATACAGCGGTGAGACTTATCAAAGCTTTAATATTGCAAAAAATCGATCATAATCTATTATATTTAATAGTTAAATCTATAGATTAAAGCTTAAAGATTTCTTTAGAACACATACAACTATGACTCGACGGACAATCAATGGGGTTACATTTGTTGGAATGAAGACGCTCTTTTCAAGTGGGCGAATCGACGAGATGTGCAAAAAGTGAGAATAGAATTATGGAAATGATTCAAATAGCGATAAATAATAACGATAAATCAAATATCTAATAAATTCAGGCTTTGAACATTGATCAAGAATGGCAAAACCGAAAGGACAACGATGGGAAACCATTCCCGTGGACAGATTGCAAGTGAGTGTCTTGAAGCGACAAGCGACAAGCTATTAAAATAAAATTCTTCACTTTTTCTTTAGCAATGCTCTTTATGACAGCTATCATTTAACGTACAACACGACAAATCAATTCTTTGACTATGTGATTAAGAATGTTAAGGTAAAGATTTGTTTACTGTTTACTGTTTGTTTACTGTTTACTGTTCACTGTTTACTGTTTGTTTACTGTTTACTATTTGTTTACTGTTTACTGTTTATTTACTGTTTACTGTTTATTTACTGTTTGTTTACTGTTTGTTTACTGTTTGTTTACTGTTTACTGTTTACTGTTTGTTTACTGTTTACTGTTTGTTTACTGTTTACTGTTCACTGTTTACTGTTTGTTTACTGTTTACTATTTGTTTACTGTTTACTATTTGTTTACTGTTTACTGTTTATTTACTGTTTACTGTTTATTTACTGTTTGTTTACTGTTTGTTTACTGTTTGTTTACTGTTTGTTTACTGTTTGTTTACTGTTTACTGTTTACTGTTTGTTTACTGTTTACTGTTTACTGTTTGTTTACTGTTTACTATTTGTTTACTGTTTACTGTTTGTTTACTGTTTACTATTTGTTTACTGTTTACTATTTGTTTACTGTTTACTGTTTGTTTACCATTTCACTTTGTACAAAAAAAAGTTTAGACACCAAATTTCCGTTTCTTAATCTACAATGGAGATGTTGATACGGTGTGCAATTATTTGGGTGACGCTTGGCACATGAGAGATGTCACAAATCAAAATGCTTTCACAGTTTGTTTTAAATTCTCATTTCCACTCAAAAATAAGATACGACTCAAAGAAACTTTCTGAAAACAAAAATCAGAAATCATGAAAAAACTTCAGTCAACACCCCGTGATCGTTGGTGGTTTCGTGATCAAGTGGCCGGCTTCTATCAGCGCTACACGAAACAACAAATCACGATCGATGTCTTGACTGTTAAGGTTTGAAAAGCAATGTGAAATGAGAGCTGAATGAATGTGAAATCGACTAAAACTCCTCTTCTCGTCTGGGCAGTGAGAAGTACTGACTCTAAGTCAGGCAAAGTTTAGAAAGCTATCGACACTAAGAGACTGCAAGATGGTACTAGTCTATGGTCTAGGTTGGGTACATTATTGTAGAAATTGAAGTAGAAGAAAGTTAAATAGAATAGAAGTTAAATTGTAGAAATCTCTGTGCTTAGAGTTGGCTCTAACTTTTGCAAAAGAATCTTTCAGCTATGTATTTAGGGTGCTGGCCACATGGTGCCCAACGATCGACCCGGACCATCGATGCAAATGATCACGAATTTTATGTTCCCCGACACAAATGGCCTCGTTGACTACTCGTCGAATCAAACGGCCGATCCAACGAGGAAACCCGCTGATTTGTTGACAACTTCTACGGTAAATGAGCTTTGATTTAGAAAGCGGAGCTTAAAGATGAAATTTTGCTATAGGTAGCGAAAGAGTACTTTATGTTGTTCATAGGAGATCGTATGAATAGCTAGGATACTGTAGTTTAGTTAGGATACTGTAGTTTATTCATAGGACACTGTACCCTTTAGCTTTGAGGTACTGCATTCATAGAATACAACCCTAGGTACTGCCCACCGATTCGACGACAACAAATGACGCTTTCGCCCGCTCGCTTTTGTCATTGTTATCCCTTTTGGTGGTTTTGTTGTTGTAGAGGTTTTAAAGTTTTAGATTCAAAAATAAATCGTATTTTCTTTCAACTAATACGTTGAACTGAGCCTTGGAATCTAGAATCTGAAAGCCTGGAATCTGGAGATTTGAAACCTGGGATCTAGGACCTGGGACTTGGACCCTGGAAGATGAAATTCTTGAAGCCTAGGATTTAGATCTGAACCCTGTGATCCTGAGGTCTGCACTTTGAGCACTGAACCCTGGGAACTGAATCCTAACTATAAGATCTGAACCCTGGAACAGGCCCATGAATCTAAACCGTGAGTCTTGGGGAAGTACTGACTCTAAGTCAGGATCAAGAGATCAAGATCCAGGGATCCAGATCCAGGAATCCAAATCCAGGGATCCAGATCCAGGGATCCAGATCCAGGGATCCAGATCCAGGGATCCAGATCCAGGGATCAAGATCCAGGGATCAAGATCCATGGATCTTGGCATTTCCTTGAATATCTTTACGATTCATGGACCCTGAGACTCTAGGATCTGGAAAGTTCAGTACAGAAAGAAAGAAATACAGATGTACAGATGCATCTAGCATCTAGATGGCTTGAGGTAGGTGTGCAGTTAATATTTTTATATATTAGCATTTGATACAATACTTTATTTCCTTGAATATCTTTACAAAAATGTTTCTTTTCTTCCAACTTATACCCTGCGACGGGTCTTTGGTGGACAAGGACAATAGTTCGCATCTTTTCCTTGAGCTCCATCTGATCCAGGCTTTCCGGGAGGGCCATCGTTGGCTGGCTGAAAGTTTGAAAGTTTAGAAATGGGTAACTAAAGCTAGATCAAGAATGATTACAGTAATTTCCAGTAAAGCTTAATATGCCAATGTTTGCTCACCTTTCCGGGCGATCCAGGTGGTCCCTGAGGTCCCTCGTCTCCGGGTTCTCCATCCTGGCCCGAGTCTCCAGGTTTTCCCGGCTCTCCTTGTGGTCCAGTCCATCCGGGTTCTCCCTGTGGTCCAGGCTCTCCAGGTGATCCCATAGTTCCGTCTCTTCCCGGGTGCCCGTCTTCTCCATCAGTACCTGGTTGTCCAGCCAATCCTTGATCTCCACCCCTCTCCAGGCTCTCCAGGTTCTCCATCAGCTCCAGGTTGTCCAGCCTCGCCTTGAGCTCCAGGGAATCCCTTGGGACCAGGCTTTCCATCATCTCCTGGAATAGGGTTTCATATTGTACTGTATTATGTTCTGTGTATCTATGCTACAACTTTGTAGACTTAGAATTAGCTAATAATAAGTAGTCAAGAACAAACCGGGTGGTCCTTGATCGCCGGGTGGGCAAACGATGCATCCGCCGGGAATGTTGTGGGTGACAGCCAACGCGATTCCTGAAGTTCCTTGGCGACCATGATCTCCATCAGGTCCTTGATCTCCGCGTTTACCAGGTGGACCGGGTGGCCCTGGAGGTCCGGCTGGACAACCCTGGAAATGGTTTGATTATTGCTTAGAAGTACAGTACCATTAAACTACTGCAGTCCTACTGTAATTGCCATAGCTTAAGTAGTACAAAAGCAGTACTTATCAGTAGTTCGCTATTAGTACTTAAATACTTAAATATTCTCATTAGGGTGCTAAAGTTTCGTCAGTATGCGTCACCAACTCCAATCTGACAGCTGTGCTGAAGTACTACTATTGCAATACTTTGTGATTGTATAGTACGATCAGTGCTCATTGTCAGTACATTTTCGAGGTTTTGAGAAAATGAGAAAGATGAGAAAGATGAGAAAGACAAAAAAACGCACTCTTGAGTTGGCAGCACAATTGCACTGAGCATGCGAGTTGGATGCTTGTCTCTTGTGGCGGAGAATTGATGCGAAATCGACGTGTTTACTATCACCGTTCTAAAAATAGAAATCTTTATCTAGTTCAGTTCTTATCTAATTATTCTATAAACCCTTTTTTACCTGGTTGACTTGGAAGGAAAGGATGCGGACCCATGTATCCTCGGAGATCGTGCGGAAATCACCAAGACCGTCCATGATCTGGAATTGAAGTCTTGTTGTATTTGTTTTTATTAGAATGAATTTTTCAATATAAAGTTATAGTTACTATGGATAGTCTTTTTCTAATATTATATGTTGTCTTTCGAAAAACTTTTTCACAAACTTAGGGAGGCTCAATTTAGATTTACAAATTGAAGCTTACTGTAAGCTAGTTTTCTTACGAATTCTTATTATAGATACAAATTTGCATTGAAAGTAGAAAAGAAAACTTTTACCTCATCATGCATTCGATCGATATCCGAAACGATCGTTTGAATCGCGACCAAAGCAGTCAATGTAGCCGCTAAAGCCATCGAGGCGCCTACCGCCACGCCCACTGACTGGAAATGGCACTTTTTAAGGTAGTCTTTGAGTTTTTTTGAAGTTAGTGTTTGAAGTTAGTGTTACAAGCTAGTGTTACAAGTTTTTGACTTTCTATGCTCATAGACATCTGATTGGTATTAAATAAGTTGTGCTCTAAAAAGTGCGATCATCGGACACCTGAAGCTCTTTAGTTTTCTGAAATGAATCGAAATCTTCTCAAAAGCTTTCTTTCTGTTTAGCTGATCTTTTGATCTTTTGATTTTCTAAAAGATGCGCTTACAATTAGCTACTGTAGCGTACCGTACGCCAGGCAGTCTAGCCTATCGCACCATCGTACACCATCGCACTTTAATAGCTATTGTAGCCAACCGTACACCAGGCAGCCTATCGTACATCATCTACTTTAGTAGCTACTATAGCCTATCATACCCCAGACAGTCTAGCCTATTGCACACCATCGTACTTTAGTAGCTACTATAGCCTATCATACCCCAGACAGTCTAGCCTATTGTACACCATCGTACTTTAGGTAGCTACTATAGCCTATCATACACTAGCAGTTCTTAAGGTCAAGCTTTCTAGATCTAATGCTCGGAACTAATTTAAATTCAAAATGGGTAGGCTAACAGCTTTTGGTGTGGGCCTAGTACCGCTTAATCTTGATCTAATAGAATAGCTAACATGTGAACAACTATATCATAACTTTATGATACTTAAATTCTAAAGAACTACGAAAGTACTCCTTAAATAATTTAAACTATACTTTCATTACCGTAATCCTCATTTTCGGGGGAATTTCAGAATAAACGAGTACCAACATTAGAACCAACCTTCATTCTTTTCGTTGCGTTCAAAGAAAGACGATTTGAAAAAGGAATAAACACTCGATTTCAGCTCTTTTCCTCGATCTCCAATCACGCTTATATGCTGCCAGTTTTTATGTGCCCTCCAGCAAGAAAGCAAGAAACTGGGGAGGCAAAAAGTGGCCGCGCGTTGTGCGTCTCTCTCCGAAAAGTGGCTTGGATTGTTACAAAAAACTTTGTGACCGAAAAAAATTTGGCCGATCGAAATCGGACTCTTTTAGGAGGGGAGAAACGAGTGAATGAAATACAGAAAGAGAAAGCTGGATTCTGAACTTTTTTCTAACTAGGGCTTAGCTGGGTTTGCGATTTGGCGGAATCGAATCGAAAATTTGCGGCTTCGTCGGGCACATTGACGGTTTCGGTTTTAGCGAAGTGCTTTGAGGGAAAAAGTTAGAGACTTGGGCTGTTGATTCTTTCAAATAAAAAGGTCTATGATGTTTTTTTAAAACATGGTAGCTTTTACCGTACTCATAATCAGGTTAAAGAGATCAAGTCAGTCCATTGGACGATTGAATTCATAACTAACTTTCTTGAAAGTTGACACGTTGACAACTACCGCGTTCCAGCGCCTTTCACTTTTTCTTTTGTTATCGTGGGAACGTAACAACAACGAACGGGTGTAATGGGGAACGTGGTGGAACGTACAAGAACACCTATCAATGGCGTTTCGAGGGATGATAAAAGAAGGCTAGAATATCGAAGCTACAAAAGACACACTGTACAGCCGGTCACTTACACGAGGACGTTTACTATAACCGTAAGTGCTAATGGATAGCAAAAAAAAGTTTCCGAGCACATGTCACAAGAAAAAAATCGTTATCATTTCCCTTTCATTTGATGGAAGAAGTTATAATTTTTTTCATGCAATGTATCATAGTAACAGCATCACGAGTCAGTCCATTGAATGATTGAAATTTATAACTGGCTTTGCGAAGTTGGTTATGAAACGTAGTTATAAACAAAATTGTTCTAAACTTTCTTGAGTTAATTTGTGAATACCATTACATCAAAAGCTTGTAGTTTACATCAAAAAAGGTGATGGTAACTTTCCAATTTTTTCCTTTTTCTGACTTGAAGTATTTTGCAAGAGTTCAGAAAGGATAATCGACACAAATAACATCTTTTTATTTTGCCAAGCCGGCTCGGTTTACGGGTACTCCGCTCGACGGGTGAGCTTCGGAGTGCGCTCAACGAGCTGAAGATGTTATTGGGGGTTTGTTTAGTTCTGGGATGCTCGATTTGAGTTGTTGCCCCCATAGGCAGTACTTTTAAGCCAAATGTGTGTAAACACACCCTTTCTGGTACTTTTTGATTCTACTTCTTTTCTCGCAGTGATGCCTTTGATTTCTAGAGGAAATGAATCTAAAGGAAATGTGTCTTCAGTGCGTTAGAAAGAATGCGTTTACAGCTTTAAGCATAAAGTACACTAGTTAAATGGAAACTAGCCTCTCAATAGCAAGCCTTAGTCCAGAATGCTTGCAATTACATAAAACGGAGATCCCACCGTGAAGACCTCCACATGTATTGGATTCGTTTCTATGACATCATCGACTTAAGTCTCTTGTTCATTTTCCAAGCGGCGAATGTCATTCAACGATTGTCATTGTGTTGATGTAGATTTTAAGATTTCGATAAAAGTTGTACTTTTGAAAGTGTGCTTTTGAAAGGGATATCACTAGAAAGTACCGAATTTTACAAAAGATTTGGAGTGTACTCAAGCGAGGTAATACATAACCTGTCATTAACAAGCCGTTAAGGACAGCAAGAGGCGGCCTGAAAAGTTACCTAGAGTTATAAAGTTTATCATAT